AGCCCAGCATGGCTGCTCAGGAAGGATGGGGAAGGTGCCCAGCTCACCTGGCCCACCCACTGCCCCCGCTTCCTGGCCAGTGTCTTCCTAGCTGCATGTCTAGAGGTGGTACAAGGCTGAGAAGGGACTGGATTGCTGTCTGCTTTCTCCCCCACTACTCCAGTAATGGAGGCAAGAGAGGCAGGAGCACGCTGGCCAGTCCCACGCCCTCCCACCCTAGTCAGGTGCCCGCTCTGCTCTCCCAATCTCCTCTTAGGTGCACTGAGTGCATGGCCCCTGCCCTTGCTTCTGCTCCCACCTGCCTTGGCCCAATGGGCAATGAGGCTGGGCAGTAGGCCTCTGTCCATGACCCCCTGGAGGGGCAGAGGGGGTGGGTGACAGTCTGGTGACCAAAGGTGGTCTTGGGAGTTATCTCCAAATGATGACACTCTCACTGGTCTTTCCAACATGCTGAGAGCTTTCAAAAATACACATGGTCCAGGCCTCTCCTGACCCTGAGCCTGCCCAGCAGCCTCTGCAGGGGTTGGTAGGCTGTAGAGGGTAGGGAACAGGAGGCGATGCTCTCAGATGGAGCAGGGACAGGGCTAGGGATCTTGGGGGGCTGGCAGCCAGCAGCTGGCCTGGGGGCTGGGCTGGGTTCCAGGGGTGGGCCACCTGAGCCCCATGCTTTGCAGGCTCCTAAATCTAGCTTCATCTCTGAATGCCGTTTGTTCACAAACTGGGGAAAGTAAAGAATTTCCTTAGGGAGGGAACTGGGGGGCAGCGGGGCAGGGAGGGGGACCCTATAAAGAACTCCTGCTGCATAGGGATTAAACACCGCGGAGGCTGAGTGAGGCTGGCCTGCGTGCACGTCCCTGGGCCTCACTGTCCCCATCTGTTAAAGGCGATGACATCACCAGCCTCATAAGGCGGTGTGAAGAGTAGATGAGATGTGAGGGGCTTCAGCGCCTGGCACCCAGGAAGCACTCACTCAATGACAGTATACCTATTGGTGAAATGCTGAAAGCAACCCCCTCTGTTTTGACCAAGGGTGAGCAGTTGAGTTTGAAGCCAGGGGGCTGGATGAGATGAGCCTGAGAGACCCCTGAGCTGGAGGCTGGGGCACCCTTGCACAAGCTGGGCAGGGCCTGTGTGGTGCTGAGAGACCCACAGAGGCTTCTGGTGGCCTGGGTTGCACTGTTTGCAGCTAAGCATCATTTTAAGGAGTAGAGGGGTGGAGGATGTTGGGAAGGTGGGGAAGAAGGTGCTGGGAGCCAGGACGGACGTACCCAACCCTCACTGCTCTCACCCAGGTGGGCCATCTTTGGGCTGGTTGCATCTTTGCCTGGGACACGTCCCCAAACAGACAATCTGAAACCCTGGGGCCTGCTCCCTGCTCCCTCCCCTCAGAGCTGCTTTGTCAGTCCTGGTCTCTGGAAACCCAAGCCCAATGACTTCAGTCAACTGAGGGGGTGGAAAGAGCCCTGGGCTTGGAGGTGGAAGACCTCTGATCTCAGGGGAGTCCCCAGGCCTCAGTTTCCTCAGTTATAAAATGGGCTGGTTCCTCCCTCTGTGGGCTAGTTGAGAATTCGATGATAAATGTTGTAAAGGATTTTGGGGATTGCAAAGCAATCTACAAATGCCCACAATTAAGGTACTATTACCTAGATTCCAAAACCTCCCTCCCTCCCAGATCTGACTTGCTCCCCAGTCCTGGTTTGCCCCATCAGCAGCAGGCAGACTGAGGAGGCCTGGAGAAGAAGCCCAGGACCCCAGGGCAGGGGCTATGCAGTCCCACTCAGGGAGGTGGGGGGAGCTCAAACTGGAAAACCAAGACCCACAGTGTGGTTTTTCCTCCATAGCTGATCTGTGCCCATGAGGGAGGGTCCCAAGGAGAAACGGGCTCAGGTCGGGGGAGTTTTAGGGACTGCAGCCTCTGGGCATGGCATGGAGAAAACTTCCTCCAGGCTTGAGAGAGGGGCCTGTCCCACAGCGACTCCCACCCCGCAGCTGCCTGGGCCCGTCCCCACAGTGTAGTGACATGTGTGTTTGTTGGCCCATCACACCCCCACTTACCCCCAAGAGACCTCTTCCTACCCATCCACCCACAGGTAGAACCTCAGGGCAGAATGACCCTCAGAAACTGTCTGGGGGCCTGCCCCGACCCTGGCACAGGAGCCCAGAACACACACCGGCCGTGGAAGGGTTAAACCTTGGACACCTGCCCGTGGCACGAGGAGCTGATGTTTTTGGGGCCTAGATGTTCCCAGCTGTCTCCGAAGCAGCCCCTCCACCCTCACAGTCTCTGGATGGAAGGGGTTCTGAGGCTCATCTGGACCAGCCCCTGCCTGCCCAGGGACCCCCGTGCAGCTTCTCTGAGACCACCAGCCTGGCCTCAGGGGTTTCCTCCGATGACCTTCCAGGGCCAGCAGCTCTGAGCTTCGTAGTCGGTTGCTAGCGTAGGTCCTGGGGAGCTGCTCGCCTCTGCCCCTCGCGTGGGGCCAGCAGTGCTGAGCGCACAGGAGGTGCTTGGAGGGAGCCCATCAGCTAAAGCCACCAGGCGGCACCAGCAGGAAAGGGGGGCAGTGCCCCAGCTTGGCCCCCTCAAGACCCTGTGTCTATGCAACCCCCTCACAGAGTCCTCAGCCCCTCCCAGGCTTCGCCATCCTTGGGGTGGCCCCCCACCACCTCCCGACACTGTCTAGGAAAAGCCTCGCTTTCTCACTTCTCCTTCCTGGGGTGAAAGGCGAGTTGAGAAAAATACCTCAGTTGTGGCCATTTGAGACTCATCGGTCACTTCTGGTCCCTCCTGTCAGCCAGGACCCTTTATGGGGCTCCTCCCCAACCCCGCAGTTGCTCTAGAAGCTCTCAGCCTATCTCTGTCCTGGTGCCCCCTGGTCCCCTCCTCCTGTCTTCCTCTGCTCAGCTTGTCCCCCCTCCATCTCTCTACTTAAGGGTACAGAGCTTGGGGAGTTGACAGAGTAGGTACCCCACACGGCCTTCAGGGAGACCCCTAGCTCCTCCCTGGGGCCAGACCCTCCCGCATCAGACCTCTCCTCCCTCAGCAGGAGCTTCTGGGCTCCCAGCACCACAGTCATCTCGGTCTGTTCTTGATGTCCTGTGCACACTCTTGTGTGCACAGGTGTGCACACACACACCGGCGCAGCCCTCCTTCCTGGTCAGAGACCCAGAGGCAAGGCTGGGAGGCCCCGGGCCCGTGTGCCAGAGGTGGAGTTGTGGACACAGCACACACTGGTTTCCACTGCACGCTGCTGTGTCTGAGCGCTCTCTTGGCCTCCTCGTGGCCCGTGTGGCCGCTGGCAGTGCAGGGGGATTAATGCCCCCCGGGAGCAGCCTTCGCCCTGTGACTAAGAGAGTTGGTGGATAAATACCCCTCGCCCCCCCGTGTGGGATGACGGAGGCCTGTGTCCCACTCCGGGGCCCCAAGCTTCCACAGCAGGAGTAAGCTCCAGCTGCCCACGGGGGTGGAGGTGTGGGCGTGCCCACCCTTCCTCGCACCTTCCTTTCCTGGCCTCACGTCCCCACTGGCTCCCTGTGCCCCCAGGTCTGCTTCTGCGGATCCCAAGCTAAGACAGCATTCAAACCCTTTCAGCCTCCCCAGCTCCTAACTCTACTTCCTGTTTCCAGCCCAGCTCCTCCCCGGGGGCGGGGACACACTCCTGTCTGGCCCCACTGCCACACCTTTGCTCAAGCTGTGACCCCGCCCACAGTGTCCTTTCCCTGCACCCTTCCCCCATGGCCCTTGGCTCTTCCCTCCCTCCAGCTCACCCCTACAGAGCTGTCCTTACTCACCGGGCCAGCCAGACCCACGCCCCTCTAAGTCCTCTACCAGCCCTCAGGGGCGCACCTAGCACCCCATCCTCGACGGTGTGTGAGAGCTATCAGGTTTGCTGGCCACACAGCGGCCCTGAGGACTGAAAGTGGCCTCCATTCTCTGGGGCGCACTCTCCACCCAGCCCCGGCACAGTCCAGGCCTCCACAAACGCTGGTTGAAAAGATAAATATTATTATTTACATCACCACCCCCTTACAGCCAACACTAACACCCTCATCTCCCAGCCCTGCACCCCCAAAGCCCCGCTCTGGCTGTCCAATACCTCTGGGTGTGGGCAGGTCCAGTGGGGGCTGGGGCAGTCCACACCTGGGGTGTAAGCCATCAGCTGGCTGGCTGCCCCAAGAGCCACTCATCCTGCCCCAGGTACTGAAGGCAGAGAGGGGTCGAGCGCCCCATCCCTTCTCTTTTCTTCACTTAGCTAATGATGCTGCCCCGGAGGAGCCATCCAGGGGCCACAGGCTCCCTGTGACCAGCAGAGGGGTTGCCCCAGAGGGTGGGCCACTGAAGCCAGCAGCATGATGGCCCCAAGGATTCTCTGCCCCCTCAAAGAGAGGCTGGCTTTGGCTGGGGCCCACCTGGCTCTTGCTCACAGGCCACTCCATCACTCTCCCACCCCCCATCTTCTCACAAAGGGGACGCATGTGGGGCAGGAGGTGACAGGAATCAGGGTGAGAGTCTTGGTGGTGGTTAAGGAGCGGGAGCCTGTGTGGCCAGCAGGACAGTAAAGGTCCAAGGGTGCAAGGCAGCAAGGCAGGACGTTGCTGGTGGCTGTGCCACAGTGCCAGAGGAAGTTCTGGTGGCCTGGGAGGGCTTCTAGTGATGTGGCCTGATGTCTGACGATGTCACCCAATTTCTAATGACGTCGCCAGGGCTTCTGACAACGTGGCCTCGGTTCCCAGTGGTGCTGGAAGGCACTGCTCAGGCCCAGGGGCAGCAGCGTGGTGGCTGGATGCTGTCACAAGAGCTTCCTGTGATGCTCCTGGGGCAGCGAGTGGCCCCTGACAGTTGCTGAGGACGGCCCCAGGTCTCTGGTGGGCTGCAATCTGTGCTCTGGGAGCAGACCCCTCTTGGAGGGACCCCTGTGCTGCTTTGAATTTCCTGGCTCCCCATTTCCACTCCATGCCCCGTCTATTCCCCAGGGGGGCCTGGGGCAAGGAAGCCTGGGGCCCAGCCCAGGACTATTGGTTATTTTCCATTGTCCTGTGGCCCAGACTGCTCTCCTAGGCCTAGAACTCCTGCCCAGCCTGGGGCTGGGGAGGGCCTCCCACGATCTCAGTGCCAGCTGCTCCTGGAGGTACAGGGTATAGGAAGGAGCTGGTCCCTCCACAGACAGGGCGGCCAGCTGAGCCTGGCGATCATCTTCCCAACCATAGATCTTGGGGGCCACTCCACGGCCCTCCGGCTCAGACGCCCGTGGACTGCTTGATGCTGTGAAAGCTGACGCGGGTGGGGGAGGTGGGGATGGACATGGCACGGGCCACCCGGGCGCGGATGGAGTGCTTGTCCTGCCATCGGTGCCACCTCTTGCGGATGGCAGAGCGGACCTGCGGGCACAGAGCAGAGCATGACGTCTGAGCCCTGGTGTCAGGACCCTCACTCCCGCCCCTGGGGCTGCCACAAGCAGCGGTGCAGGGAGCAGCTGTGCAGGTGAGCAATGCACAGGTGTGTAGTACACAGGGGTGAGGTGCATGGGGGCCACATAGGAGGTGGCGACATTCACATCGTCAACATTGTTGATTTGCATCTCTGTTGGGACAATTTTGTCAGGTGTTCTGTGGAAGGGGTGCTTCTTTAAAATCCACACAAAACTGCCATAGGGCCTTTGCCGTGAAGATCCCCTACCCTCAACCCACTGGGGCTCCCAGCAGCATCCCCACAGGGACCTGGGAGCAGGGAGCAGAGAGCCAGAATGTGGAGGGCAGGACAAGGCTACAATCTCTGGTCCCAATGGGCCTCCTGCCATCCGGAGCCCAGCCCGAGGCCCTTACCTCGCTGTTGAGGAAACAGTAGAAAACAGACACGAAGAAACCCTGGGTGGAGGGAGAAGGCAAGTCAGGGGTCTGGGGCGGGTGTGGCCCCACCCAGCCTCTGAACTGCCCCCTCGCCCCTCCCCTAGCCTCATGCCCTTGCAGGCTCCTGCCAGGGAGCATCCCCACCCAAGAAGGTGCAGGCGACACCAGGGCCGGAGTGAGGGGAGGGCGGTTGTACCTGGAAGGATTCCAGGAAGGAGTTGAAGTAGATGAAGACGATCCGGGAGACCTCGTCCTCCCCGGGGTTCACGAAGAACAGCATGTAAGTGATGCCCAGGAGGGGAAGCAGCACCAGAGTGGCCTTCACAGCCTTCCTGGGGTGGGGCGGGGCGGGGAGGCCCAGAGTCACAGCCCACCCCCGGAGGTGAATGGGACCGGGTCTGGGGGGAGGGGGTGGCAGGTCCCGGGAATGTCTGAGACAAGGGGAGCCGGGGTTTCAGGAGGGACTGCCAGGTCTGGGGGGAGACCCTGGGTCAGAGGCCGGGATCTCTGAAGCCCCAATGGGTGGAGGAAGCGGGACCAATTACCTGTACTGAATGGTCTCAGACGTGGTGGACGCCCGAAGTTTGGTCATGAGGATGCGGACGATGTTGAAAAGGAAGATGAAATTGATCTGCAATTTGAGTACACAATGGGATGGTGTGGGCATGTACGTGTGCAAAATGTTGGGGGAGTGGGCCAACAGGTCAGGGACTCAGCCGTCTCAGGCCTTGTCTTGGTCCCCTGATGTTCTTATTAGCATTTGCACATCCTGGCCCTGCACCCCCCACCTTGAGGCAAAGGGATCCACAGGAGGCATTAACGCCCCCCCCACCACTGTGCCCCTCTCTCTTGTCCGATACCCAGGTTCTTACCAGGAGGACCAAGATCATGGGGCCCTGGTAGATGTAGTCGGTGTACACGCCAGGCCTTTTGCCAAACCAGCACCTAGAAGGCCACAGAGGAGAGGTAAGAGAGGGTCATCTGGGTCCAGTTCAGTGGCATGGGGAGGGGCAGTGCTTGGCCAGGGCAGGATTGGGGCCAGAAGCCAGGCTCTGGGTGCCCCAATTCCAACCCTGGCAGAAGGTCAAGCCATTTGATCCCATCACAGTGCCTCAGTTATCCCATCTGCAGAATGGACAGCATCCTCTATTATGAGACGTACAGCTGAAGGCACGGAATTGTGGCAGGAGGGGGACTGTGGGAAAGACCAGTGAGTGGAACAGGCACCGACCCTACACACCACCACTCCCCTTGGTCCCCACGGTGCCTTTGGCGCGTGCCCACAGGCAGTGCCTTGTCACACAGCGGGCACTCAACAGCTAGCAATCTCTAAATCTGTTTAACTGCAGCTTGAACGACCTCGAGGCAGAGATTCCACGGGTTCCACCTGTCGGGAGAGGCAGAATCGCTGTGCATTTCCCTGGATTTCCCTCCAGCAAGCTCTAGAGAGGTCTGGGGAGTGGGTGGGGAGGAGGCACGGGGGAAGTCCCAAGTCCTTGTGCAGAGACGATGGCCCAGTGGGCACGCAGACTCACAGCGCCTAATCTCATGATGCTTCCATAAACCAGAACTGAGATTTTTATATGAAACCTCTTGACTTTTTAAAGGTTGGCAATAAATTCAAGTTTTCAAAAAACACTGTGCAGAACAAACGCAAGCTGTATGGGGCCAGGTCCAGTCCTTGGCCTCGGGTCTACAACTTTTTCCGGATGTCTCACACCTGGATCCCTTCTGCTGCAGTGTTGGCATCTTACCACTAGGTGGCGTACCCGAGCCGCTCAGACGGACTGATTTCTCCAGTTCAGGCTCCTTTTCCCTCCGAGACACACATAGACACACACCCTGGGCAGCTTTTTGAAACCTGTTCTTCCTCTCCCCCCCTGTACACACACTCACACCTGCACACCTGCAGGCACAGGCACCATCGCCCAGGCCACCATCCTGGGCATCACTGCCAGGCCCCCAGTTCTGTCAGCTGGTCCCCCTCCCAGACAGGGGCCCCACCCCGCCAGCTGTGCAAACGCAGCGACAGCCAGCTGGGCCCAAGTCAGGAAGGAGTCACTCTGATAAACATGAGTATAATTTTCCAGGCTCTTTGTCGAGCCCAGTGAGGTTGTGGTGGCCCCCGATCCCCTCTACATGGGGGGAGGAATCGTCACCGTGATGGAGGCCGCCTGGAATCCCATTCCGACAGTGGGTTCCTGAGAACACTTTGGCAGAGAAGATCCTGGCACCTCCCTCGTCTGTCCACGTCCCTTTTTCTCCCTCTCTCTCAGTGGTTCTCAAGCCTAGCTGCACATCAGAATCACCTGGGCAGTTAAACAACATCCCAGTGCCCAGACCACACTCCAGACCAGATACATCCAACTCCCCGGAGATCAAGCCCGGGCATCAGTACTTTTTAAAGCTTCCTGGGTGATTCTAACGTGAGCCGAGGCTGAGAACCACCGCAGCGGAAGTCTAGTTTTCGGGGGTGACTGGGAACACTTTCGTCCATTTAATGAGGCACTTCCCGAGTGCAGAGCTGGAAGGAGCCTCTGAGATGGTCTGGACCAATTTCTATTAAATCCGTGGAATCTTTTGCTGAATCAAGTCTTAATATTAACAGAAAACATTTATGTAGCATTTACTATGTGCCAGATACCATTCAAAATGCTTAACAGATATTAAATCATGTCATCCACACAATCCTTTGAGGGAGACACTATTATTAGGACGCCCATTTTACAAATGAGGAAACTGAGGCACACTGCAGAAACTAGCCTGAGGTCATAAAGCTACCTAATGATGAAGCCACGATTCAGAACCTGGGCAGGCTGGCTGCAGAGACTGCCAGTAGCCCTTACACAGCTCTGCCTATCGTGAAAGCCCAACACAGACAAGAGCCTGGATCCTCTGTCCAGCCCACCTCAGGTACAGCACTGGTCGGGAGCCCGGGACTGACCAGCCCCCAGCGCCCTCCCTTTATAGAGGGAGAAACTGCGGCCCTTGGGGGGTGTCAGGCAGAGCTGGGCTGGGATCCTGGACCTCAGGGCTCAGGGGGCCTGAGGGCAGTGAAGGGAAGGAAGTGACTTACTTCTCGTTGTCGTAGTAGAGCTTCCCAATGGCCCAGGCCACGATGATGGGGAAAGGCACACCTGGGGGAGAGACCGGCTGTCCCAGAGCCTGACAGTGGGGTCTGAGGGATGCAGGGCCTGGAGGCCCCCAGTGCAGCCCAGGGCCCAGAGGAGGGCAGGGGTTCCCCAGGGTAGGGCCCATATTCTTATGCTCAACATGCCCCCTTCAGGATGTTCCCACCTCCCCCCACCCCAAGCTGGGGCCTCGGTCTCTCGGGACTCCAGCCTGCTGGCCTGAATCTGGGTGAGGAGAGGGCAGCCGGGCTGGGGGCGGGGGGTGGCCCGCTTACCCCAGCCGATGCAGATGAACATCCACTTGCGCAGCCGGTCGGTGGAGTAGGTGAGCACGATGGCCGTGTGCAGGTAGCAGCCCTCGCCGAACATCCAGAAAAAGTTGGTCACGTGGAAGTAGTTGTAGGCGGCTGTCACCAACCGGCACCAGCCCTGCCACCCCACCCCCAGCAGAGATGATGATGCGCCGGGGAGTGGGGTGAAGGCAGCAGCAGCACCCCACCCTGGGCCTGGGGCCTCCTCTAGGCAGGATGGGGCACCCCCCGGAATCCACTCCTTTTCTATGGGCCCCTCCTCCGCCAGGGCAGCCACACCCGGGGCCCTTACTCTGACCCTGGGCCTGCCCCTTCAGGACGCACCACGTTGCTCTGGTGGACCTCAGGGCTCATGGTGAGCTGGACCACAAACCACGTGGCATTGCGCAGGATGAAGGCCGAGATGAGGTTCCAGTGGATGATGTTTCTCAGGCACCGGATGCTCCTGGGGCAGCAGGGGAGGGTGGGTGACAGGAGCAAGGGGAGGAGAGAGAGGATGAGGGACAGGTTGCCAGCATCACTCCAGCCCAGATGTATTGATGGGGAAACTGACGCTCAGAGAGGGGCTGACTGGCTAGGTCACTCTGGGAGGTGGCAGCAGAGGCTCTCCGATGCTCCCCAGGGCCCTTCCTACCTGTGGCCCAGAAGTAAGCTCTGGGGGGCAGAGCCTGGCACCCAGCTGGTGCTCCAAGGACCAGGGGCTGCTTACTTACTGGAGATGCCCTTTCTCCTGGGGCCCCTCCCCTCCCTGTAGTTCCAGGTTTGAGGGTCAGAAAACATCAAAGGCCTCCAGCGGACGCCTCCCTCCCAGTTTTCAACCCTGAGGCTCAGCTCTTGCTCCCGCTCCCCATTCCTGGCACTAGCCTGCCTGGCACTGCCACCTGCATCCTTGGCAGTAGTGCCAGGTGGGTGTGGGTGACACAGGCCAGCCTGGGCTCTGGCCATCACCCCTCCCCCCCAGCAGTTACTAGGGAGGGGGACAGAAGTGACCCTGCCAGAGGTTCCAAGAGACTGGGGACTCCTATATCTGTCACTTCCTCCCACTGGTGGGAAGTGACGGGGCAGGACTCCGCCTTCCCAGCAGCACCCCCAGAGCCGCCCTCTGCCTCTTACTTCTCTGCCCTGCTCAAGGCCCGGGGACAACACCAGGGCCTCCTCACCTGAGCCGCAGAAAGAGGACAAAGGCCACCAGGAGGGCCAGCAGGGAGACGCAGTGGCCCAGGTAGTTGATGATGACAGCGACATGGTAGTGTACCTTGCTCTTCTTCTGAGGCGGGAGAGAGGGGCAGAGGTGAGGCTCCTGCACAGCCGCACCTCTGCACCGGCTGGACGTGCGAGGACGGCCTCCATGGTGGCCGGGACAGTGTGGGTAACAGTAACAATTGTTATCCCCCTTGCTGTGCCCCTACTGTGTGTCAAGCATTGCCCGAGAGCAGCAGCATCCAGTTTGAGACTATGTCTGTCTGTCTGTCTGTCTGTCCCTGGATCCCATGCTCTGTCCACTGCTCTGTGCTGTGGGACAAATGTCAGTGAACTTGAATCTCCACATCACACAGGGTTCCCTGCTCCGCATGCACAAACATGTGTGTGGCTCTCCGATGTGCTCTCACACTCACACTTCCATTCAGTCCAAACACCAGGTGGGCGTCGTGGGTGCAGACGCCAACCCTCTGGGACTTCTTTCCTGCACCCATTTCTGAGTTGAGCCACCATTTTCTCGATCACCCCTGAATCCCTCCTGCTGCAGGTGAGGCCTGCTCCTATCAGCGAGGAGGGAAGGGCAGTTGCTGTGGAGCAGCATCCACAGTATCATTAGAAACCAGAGAGAACCTCTCAGGCACCATAACTTGCTTCCCAGGTCCTACCCCTGGCCCAGGGAGTCTGCTCGAAGTGAACAGGATCCTGCCCCAGGACTCAAACAAAGTCCCCAATGTGATTAATCCATTTCATATACTGATGGAAGCTGGAAAACGCCATGGTCCCTTCTCCAATCACGGGCTCCATGAGTGACGAAGCCTTCGCATTTACAGAATATTTTCACATCTGTTATCTTCTCAAACCCTCAAGGAAGCCTGTGGGAAGAGCTGGAGGGGGGTCTGTACTTTATTTTGCAGAAAAACAGGCCCAGAAGTATGTTGACTCATTCAACGTCACTCAACTTCAAACCACCTCTCACCTGCATGTGCAGACTGCATGTGCTCAGTCTGCAAACAGGTCCCCAGCCCACAATGGGGGACTGGTGGTCCCCAGTGCCTAGCTCTATGCAGACTCCTGCCCCGAGAGCAAAGCCCCCAGTCACTCTTTTCTGGGTCCCAATAGGGCAAGGTCTAGAGAGCCAGATCATGGCACATCGTAGAGCTCCATAACTGTGTGTTGAGTGAAGGAAGGAAAAACAAATGTTGGAAAACAACTGGCTTTGCAAAGAGGGCTCCCTGTCAGCGCCCCCTCCCCTCCTCTTTCCAGGTTCTTGGGGGGGGGGGCGCTAGGGCTTGATGATGCACAGAAACTGGCCAGTGTTGACAAAAGGATGAGCTCACAGAGGCCTTGTTCATCCTTTCAGAGCCACCAAAGAGCTCCTGGCTCTCCGTGGACCCTCCTGTTGGAATTACAGAATCCATGGATGTCAGAGCCAGTCCCGAGGGACCCAGTCCAGCCCTGCCCATCTTCCAGATGAGGAAACTGAGGCCCAACCTCACCCACCCAAGGACAAGGGATGTACCTCTGTGGCAGGACACCTAGCAGCCCTCCCTCTCCTCCTCTCCCTGGCCCCCGCCGCACCCCTTCTGAAGGGGCGTCCTCGCTGAAGAACCTCTGGGGTCCAGAAGGCCCAGGAAGCTCTGCTCCAGGGGCTGGTTCTCCTGGCAGAGGTTTTCAGGAACACGGCAGGAAATTACATTAGCAACTCTGGCCTTGGAAGAGTTGAGACCCAGGAGCTGTAAACTGAGGTGGACAAGAGAGACAGAGAGGGCATTCATCGCCGCCACGCAGACGGGGAGGGGCTCTGAGCACCTGGTCGTCGTAGAAGCCAAATCTGGAGACTCCAGAAGATGTGCACATGTCCAGCCTGTCTGGAGCTGGTGCCTCACTTCCTTTTATTGAATTTTCCATAAATCCACCCTGCGAAGGCCCAGGGTAATAACAATGTGTGTGAAGCCCCGACTGGCATGACGCCCCAGCTCCGTTCACGGGCCCAGGTGGACGAGGGAGACCCTTTGCCACCACCTGCTGTCAGCTGGTCCCCGCCCTAGCCCCCACAGTAGGCCGTGCCTGGGTTGTTTGGTTTGGGGTGGGATGAGTCATTTATTAAGCACCTACTGTATGCTGGGCACTGCATCAGGTGCTTTACAGATGTTGTTGCTTTTCTTTCTCCCAACTGCCCTCTGAGACTGTCCTTCTGTCTGTTTTTCCAGTTGAAGATGCTGCATAATCGGCCCAAGCTACCTGGCCAGCAGTCGGAATCCAGGTCTGCTTGGCCTTAAAGACCTTCCCTCTCCTGCCCCCATGGTGCATTTCTTGGGGGACAAGGAGGGACTGAAGACAGAGGCACTCTCTCCGTCCTGGGCCCAGGGTCCTCGGAGAGCTTCTGCTGGGAGGATGGGGGCTCAGGAGGAGTTTTTTCCACCCAGGCTCAAAGGGGAGAATTGGGCCAAACCATGTAGGGGGCCGTCTCTGTGTGACTCAAGCTGAGAAACAGCGAGCCAGCTGGGGGGTTACAGTGCAGAGAGAGCCCGAGTAGACTACTGGAGAGACGGCAGTGTCACTCAAGAGACAGCCAGTATCACCAGGACAGATGGCCAGAGACACCCTTTGATATGGCCAGCAATACCCTGAGAGGGGTCAGTGACACGGGAAAGAACAGCCAGCAACATCCTAAGAGATACCCAGTGACACTCCAAGAGACCCTAATGACACCCTGAGAGACCTCAGTGCCCTCCTGAGAGAAAGCCACCATTCACTGCAGAAGCAGCTCGGTGCTCAAAGGACAAATGGACACAGCCAGTCTCTGGGGACCTGACCAGCACTGTGTCCCTGTCTCTTCTGGAGATCTAGGACTGGCAGGTTCCCTGAGGAAGGTGGCACAGTGTGGCACTGGGCAGAGGCCACTCCGCTGCACCCCTAATGACCAGAATCCAATAAGTAATTAGTGCCGGGAGAATTCTGACCAGACTCTCTGCAAGACACACCTTGTCCCAAATGTCAGCAGCGTCAGACCTGTCCGGAAGCCTTTTCAGGACAGCGCAGACTCCTCCCTGCCTGGTGCCCAGCCCCGGTCTCTCTCCAGCCCCTCGCTAGCCCCACTTAGTGGCTCCTCCTCTCCTGGGTTTCCTGAGCTACTCCCTCACCCCACCAGTGGGCACTCCAGCCCCCGCTCCTCACAGCGTGCTCCCAGACCCTGGAGCTGCAGCACCTGGAGCTTGCAGGAATCTTAAGCCCACCCCAGACCCACTGAGTCAAATCTTCATTTTAGCAAGAAGCCCAGGTGATTCCTAAGCATTTCAGAAGCCCTGGTCCAACAAACCCCCGCTGTGAGCAGGGAACCCCGGCCCACAAGCCTACAACCCCAGTCCCTTTCCCGGGCGGAGGCTCCCTGGGCTCAGCAGAGTGTGGGCGAGGGGAGCAGAGTGTGGAGGAGGGGAGCAGTGGTGGGGGAGGGGAGCAGAGTGTGTGCAAATGTCATGGGAGGTGGTCGGGGGGTGGAGGAGTGGGGTGTCTGGAGGTCCCTGCAGTGGAGCAGACAGTGTGTGTGTGTGTGTGTGTGTGTGTGATGGGGGGTGCTGGCATGGAGAGTGGGGGCCCCTGCAGTGGTGCTGGGGGGTCAGTGCCATCCCCGGGGGGCTGGGCCATGCATGAGCCAAGCTCCCCCACTGGGGGCTTGTCCCCTGGTGGTGATGGCTATGGGCAGGTCTCCTCCTCCGCCTGGCCTCTGGGCGCCCTCACAAGTGCCATTTCACAGGCAGCCATCCTGCGAATCCATTATCTGCAATCCCCTCGGGGCGCTGGTGCTTAATTAGGGCTTAGCTGGGGCCCAGAGCTGAGAAACCAGGCTGCTCCATTAATTGGAGACTTTCCTCTTCCTCTTCGCAGTGACTCTGGGAGGAGTCTTGGGAGTAGGGAGGGGTCTGGCGAGGCTGGGGGCTGGCAGAAGGAGATGGCATTTTCACTAATTAAATTAATTGATTACCCAGAGTGCTAGGCAACCAGGTGGCAGGGGCTGCTGGGGAAGGGGCTGGGTGGCAAAGACAGGAGGGGCCCGCCGGGGTGGAGGTGTGGCATTGCACCACGTGGGGGTGTGAGGGTGGCAGCCCCGACCCCGTCGGTAACCAGAGGAAGGGGGTGCCCATGTTACCTGTGGTCTCTCATCGATGACCCCCCACCCTAGGTGTACACTACCACCTCCCCTGAGCTCAGGTGAGACAAGAGGCAGAGGGGTGGCAGATGGATGGAGCGCCCTCCGCAGGCCAAGACACAGGCAGACACCACCCTCCCTCTGCCAGGAGGCAGAGACTGTGTTACCCTCGGCCCTTTTCCAGACGAGGACGCTGAGACTTAGTGAGGCTGAGTTACCTGCCCAGGGTCACACAGCGCACGTGTTGCAACCAGAATCCAAACCCCAAACCGTCCGCCTCCAAAGCCCACGCTGTTCTGTTATACTGCCCAATAGGGGACTGACGAGAAGTGGGTGCTCCCTCATCCTTCCTGCCCTCACCCCACTGGTGGACAGAGGGAGAGACCCCTGTCCTGGTGGAACGGGTGGGAGCTGCAGGGTGGGGAGAAGGGAAGGTTGAGGGCAGCTGTCAAAGACCTGGAGTCTTTGAAGGGTGTTGGGGGCAAGGAGGGCTGCTGAGAGACCCCCGGTCAGCCACCTAGAAGGAAGGGCTTAAATCAGAGCAGGAGAGATTGGGTGAGCCATGAACCACCCCTGACATTCAGGAGGCTCCAGTGCAGGAGGGAGGCTGGGGGCAGCTGCAGCATCTCCAGCTTTGCTGCTGTCCAGGAAGGGGACAGATGCCTGCTCCTCTGGGGCGAGGGGAGGGTCATCTGTCCTAAGGCAGGAGGCTGGAGACCTGACCCCTAGTTAGAGATACATCCAGATGGAAATACATAGTCTGCTCAGGCTCGGCAGACCCAGCAGGACAGTCAGAGCACAAGGTGGGGTGCGGTGGAGGGGCTGAAGATTCTTTGCCTTCGCCATGCCTCCCCCATACCATCCTCTCTGGGCATCAACTGTGGTCCTAAGAGACACTGACAGCACTGACCTGCCTTTCAGAACATGAGCCCCGGTTCCCGTATCCCCACCCCTACTGTGTGCCAGGTAAGGAGTTCCCCACCCCACCCCCAGCCAAGCCCATCTCTCCTGGCCTAACTATGTTTCCTGACCTGGAACCCCACTTCCCTCCCCCATCTAGGGGAGTGCCCTCATTCCCAACCCCAGAACTTCCCCAGTTGGCTCACCATGTGGGTGCTTAGCAACCTGGGGGCTATCTTTGCTCAGGTCAGGCGGTCGGGGAGCCAGGCCAACACACCCCAGCCTGGGTGGACCACATGGTCTGGCCCATGTGGTCTGAGATGCCAGGAACCCTCACCCTGCATCCTGAGGAATTCTTTCATCCTGCCAAAGCAGTGCCATTGAGGAGCGTGTCCTTCTTTTAAGCTAAGCTTTGCCCTATCTTTGCAGTTTCTGAAAGGAGACAGCAGAGCCCCAATATCTCAGTGACGTGAGGCCAGGCAGCCTGGGGAAGGGGCTAACCAAAGTGCTCAGGGTGGGGTGGGGTGCTAGGTGGGGAAAGCTGTTCTCCCACCATCAACGTCGCTTCACACCAAGTACCTGGCGGTGGGCAAAGGAGAGCCTGGACCTCAAAACCCCAGGTTCCAGGCTCCAACTCACTCTGGCCATGTGACCTTGCATGAGTCACTCCCCCTTGCTGGGCCTCAGTCTCCCCATCTGTAAGGTGAGTGGGTTGCACTAGATCAGAGCTTCTCACTTTTTCTCCGTCAGAAGGCTCCCCTGGGGCACTTGTGAAAAATGTAGATTCCCAGGTCCTCCTTGGTGAGTTCGATGTATTGGGTGAGCGGTGTAGCCCTGGGACCTGTATTTGAACAAGGGCTCTGGGTGATTCTTATTACCAGGCAGGTCTAGGGACCTCAAGATGGGATGGAGGGTCTGCAAAGTCCCTTCCAATTCAGATCTTTTAGGTGCTGGAATTCTCGGGACTGTCGAGACCAGCCGCTCTCTTCCACGCCCCAGAAGCCTGGGGCCCTAGGACAGCTTGGGGCATCCTCCCCTCTGCCCTGCGCTTTCTGTTCACTTGTTCTTCCAGGTCCATGACCCCCACCTTCCTCAGCACCCATTGAGGGGTGGGTGGAAATGTCAGGGAGAGGGCAAGGGGCACAGAGGTAGCAGCAACACCAGGAGGATAGACACACCCGTGCATCTGTCAAATGTCACCTTTAAAAGATTATTCATTGCGGCACCATCGGTAATAACTGAAGACTGAGAATAAAGATTGGTTAAATAAATTACAGTACAGCTGCACAACGTGATGTTATGCAAATGTAGAAAAGAATGAAGATGCTCTTTATGTACTGATACAGAACAATCTCCAAGATGGATGATTATATGAAAACAGCAAGGTGCTGAAGTGTGTATAACATGCAGCATTTGGGTAAAAACAAAAAAGAATATATATACATAATTACACACATATGCAGAGAATGTCTCTGGGAGAACACTCAGGGAACTGGCAAAATGGTTGCCTCTAGGGAGGGAACCCGTGGCTGGGACAGGAGTGGGAGGGAGACTTTTCTCTGTATTTCCATTTGCATCTTTGAATTTTGTATATGTGGAAGCAATATCTTCTCAAAAACATTTAAATATTTAGAAGGCTCTCTATGGGCTTTTTGGAATGGCACTGCTCCCCTCACCCCATCCCTGACTCTGATGCAGCCCCCTTGGCTGGATCTGGATGTGGTGCTCAGGTGGGTGGGGTGGAAAATGGATGAGAACCCGTCCCAGTGAGTGAGGGAGGAGCAGAGGAAGGAACAAGGACCCAACTCACCCCTCCCGGAGCCCGCCCACCGGCCACTTGGCTCCCCCTCCTCCAAGGATGCCTGCTCAGGGCCCTGAGCTCTGGCTCCCCAGTCGGCTTCCCTGGGGCAGGGCCTGGGTGTCAGCCTCTGCTGCCCCCACCCACTGGTCTTGTGAGGAGCCCCTAACCCCTCAACGCGGGCAGCCTCGCTCGGCACAGCCTCACCTCCTCACTGAGGATCTCCTGGCACTCTGAGTAGTTCACGCGGGCGGCCCAGCTGCCATTGGCCAGGCACTGCCGGTAGCCATTGTCTGGAAAAAGAAGAGCGAGTCAGAGTGACCCACGGGCTCCCCTCCAGAAGAGCAACCTGGGCGTCTGTCTGCCATTCGTCTGTCTATCTATCCATCCATCTGGGCCAGCACAAGGGCCTGCTTGCTGGGCGGCTTTGGGGTGAAGTGCGGGGAGGGGCTTCCCTACTACCCCCATCCTTCTGCCTCTTTCTGCCCACTGGGCCCCAACAGGGATATAGTGGCAACCCCAACAATTGCCCATGGGGCCCGGGCCCTGCCCACCCAAGCTGGCATGATCATGCCTGTGGGACTGGCCACGGGCAGGCTTCACCAGCTCACTGGGCTGTTTCCTCGCAAGCCCTTATGTGGCGGCAGACTACGTGGCAGGTGCCATTCTGAGAAATCTCCCATTTTAGGGTCTCACGTGGCAGCAAAAAGAATGGTGAGATCTTATGAGTCAGTTCTCACTCACGTGGCTGGGTGTGATATGGTGGAAGGACGTGTGTTGACAGCTCACGTGGCACATTGAAATGACAGGGTTTCATATGGTGGGACTATCAGTGGTGAGGTACCCCGTGGGGGGTCCTCACGTGGCAGTGTTTTGCATGGGGTGGAGCTCATAGGGCAGGTGTTGGGGAAGGTCCCCATGGTGGCATTTCCCTACAGCAGGCCTTGTGCCAGAGGGTCATGTTGTGGGAACATCCATGGTGAAGGTTTCTTGGGACAGACAGTGACAGGTGGCAGGAGTGTGCTGGGGTATGTCACAAGGAGTGACTCTCATGTAGCACATATAGCAAGGATCTTATTGTTAGGATCTGCTACAACTGGCTCCCAGTCTGGCACATGGCACTTGGGAAAAAAGACAGGGCAGTGGCCCAGGGACGGGTGGTATCCATGCCGCCATCAGCCTGGACTGCAGCCCAGAATCTGTCACCTTCTAAGGAGATGGGGAGGGGCCCTGTGGTCCCAACTGAGGCCTGGCTTCAGGGCTCTGGGACGGTTGGAGCTGTACAAAGTGCACCCTCCCCGCCGCCTGACCCTGGGGCACCAGGGCCCTGAAACCCAGTAAGGGAAGTACCGAGGGAGTTCTATATCTTGTCTTTTCTCCTTTACTGGCGGCCTTTGCTCTGCCCCACCCCAGGCCCCTCTCTGGCATCAGTGGCTTTAAATATGTTTCCTTGAGTTAATTCTGGCCCCGACTCCAGGCAGTGCCGGCTGGAAGAGAAATTGAGTCCTGAGCCATTTCCACTGGAGCCCCTGCCCTGCCGCAGGCCTTTCCATGGCTCCTGCTGACCCTCACTCACATCCCCACCCCAGCAGGGCAGGAGGAGGGCTGGGGCAGCTGCCGGAGTCCCAGTCCCTGAGGCTGGAGGCCGGGAGGGGCAGAGCTCTGCGTGGGAGACACAGGCGGGGGCCCCGCCCACCTCAGGGCAGAGCTGTGCTGCCCGAGCAACCTCAGCCAGCGGTCTCTCGGGCCTCTCTCCTCATTTATAAGAGGAATGGTTGGACCAGCTGATCCCCCAGGCACTGTCCAGCCTGCGAGCTCCTCTCTGCGGGCAGCATCAGGACCAGAGGGAGATGATGGGTGGGCGGCGGAGAGGGAGCCACGGCCTGGCCTCCAGGGCTGCACGGCAGAGGCCTGCTCTGTGAGCCCCTCCCCAGCCCCTCTGCTGCAGGCTGCTCCTGCCACACACGCCAGTGGGGAAAGGAGGCTAAATGGATGTTTAAAGCTCTGCTCAGCTTCCCTGCTGGAGGACCTGAGTCTCGGCAGAGTTGAGCGCTGGGGCAGAGTTGATGAAGATGCTGCTGATTCTCTCCTAATTGCTCAATGAGAGATAAGCTCCCAGAGGGCTGAGGGCTCAGTGACTGGGTTTTCAGGGAGATCTTGGAGAGGCAAGGAACCAGGGGAATCCAGTGTGTCTGCCATGGACCAAAAGTGCCTGGGAGCAGAGGCTGCTCTGGGATGTCTGCAAAGAAAGGGACTTGGGGGCAGACATCTAGTTGGAAGGGGCACAAGCGTGGCGGGGTAGGGGTGGGGGTTGCCTTGCCTTAGGAAAGGCAGCACAAGGTAGTGTTAAGAAAATGGCTCTCAACCCAGACAGCCTGAGTTTAAACCCTGGCACCACCTCTTACTAGCTGTGTGACCTTGGGCAGGTCATGCAACCTCTTAGCTTCCTTATCTGCAGGATGGGAATGATCTTAACGAGGGCTCCTCCTTAGATGGCTGAGTGAGCATTTTTAGTTAATGTGTGCAGAGTGCTTAGAGCTCTACCTGCATGTGGTGTGGGCTATAATTTTTATTACTATTGTCTTGGAGCTGTATTTATATAACCTTACATAAGATTCAGAATGTATCCATTATCTCTATCAAAGGGGGTACAAGTGGGAATTCCGGGAGGGGCCCCCTTGGCTCATCCACATGTGGGGTGAGAGCCTGGAGTCCCTCCCAGGCCGGGTCATGCAGGGGGAGCAGGCGTTGGCAGGAAGGGAGGAGGTGATCCTGAAAGAAAACAGGCCCAAGGAGCAGCGGGTCGTTGCCAGGGAGGACCCGCTTGTCTTTAATTGCCGAGCTGAGCAGTCCTCCGGAGAATCATGGGAAAACGGATATTTTTGGAAATGCTTCCCATCCATTTGAAGATCAGATGCAGCAGGAGGGAGGGCATTAAGGAAAGGCCTAGAAGTCCTGGCAGCACCTCATCAGTAAATGGATTAATTAGCGCCTAACGAGGAGGTACACCTCTGGGCTCCTAATCACTGCTGATTACACGGGTGTGTGCCTCATCATTCTGGCACTGGGGGCACCCGGAAAGAGGGAGTCTTCCAGCCCTGCCCCCACTTGAAGGGCCCATCACCCCCAGCTCCTCTCCTGGGATCAGAGAGGGAAGAGGGAGGGGGCCGAGAGAGCACCTCACCCAATCTCCCGCCCATCCTGCAGGTGGAGCCCCCGAGGCCCGGAGGGGGCCAGTGCCGAGGGTTCCCTCACCAGTTACAGACGGGGCTGGCGCTGGGACCCAGGACTCCCAGCTTCCACTTAAGGCAGGGCTGGCAAATTGAGTAGCACATGCCCAGGCACTAAAAGTTTATCTGGGGCATGTCAAGTCACCCTTGGGGACACCAGTGCAGGAGCTTGCGGGGAGGGGCCAGGGCTGGCTGCAAAGGTAGGCAGGGCTAGGGCTACAGGGAGCCTGGCTGGTCCCACTCAGAAGGGTGAACTGGACCATGGAGGCAGTGGGAAGCCACAGAGGGTTGACTCCAAGCAAGGAGATGACAGGGTCAGATGAGAAACTAGAGTTAGAGACTGGGCAACCTTGGACAGGGCAGCAGCCCTGGGGATGGAGGGCAGGTAGGGTCAGACACAAGGATCACTTTGGAGGTGGAATTGACAGGACCTGGTGCTGTTGTGAGAGAGAGAGAGGGACCTCCGCCCAGAAGCACCCCCACCCACCTCGCGCCCCAGCTCTAATGCTGCCTCCTTCCTGCGAGCTCCAGAAGGACTGGGCACACAGCACTGTGAAGGGGGCACCGGGGGGCTCTGATTTCTGGGTTTGGCTCTGCTTCCAAGCTTTGTGACCTTGGGCAGTTATCAGCCTCTCTGCCTCCATTTCCTAATTGCAAAATGGGCCCTACTAAATTGGAGGCTGGTGGGCTGCGAACCCCAAAATCTCCTTTTAGGTCCTTCTGCCCTTCCTCCTGCCTGCGTTTCCTACCCACCTTCCTCCCAGTCTTTCTCCTCCTCCAGGGGTCCAGGATGTGGTTGCAAACATGTGAAGCTTCGAGGTCTGGCTGTTCCCTCCTTCTGCACGGTCCCAATGGCTCCCCAGGGCTCTCCCACCCCTTCTTGGTTGCAGCCCCCAACCCTAACCCCCTTCACCCAGCTGATAAAGGAGAGAGCGGCAGAAGAAAGAACTTGGGAGTTTGGAGCTGGACAGTCTTAAGAGCCATGTCATCCAGCCCTCTCCATCCTCAGACGAGGGGCCGGAGGGCCATATAAGAGGGGAAAATGTGCTACAGGTCATGCAGCGAGTCTCAGAATGAACACTCTCGTGTCCCTGGTCACCCTCGGTACCCTCTTGGGGCTCTGAGCTCAGACCCACCAGACCCCAAGGGCCTCCCAAGGCCTTCCACCCTCCCCTCAGATAGCTCAGGGCCCCTGGCCTGCAGCTGTTGCTCTCTTGATAAGCAGGGGCTGTGAGTCACTGACAGGGGAGAGCAAATTAATTCTGAGGGTGGCAGGTGGTATAGCAAGGAGCTGCAAAGCCTGCAGAGGGAGGCTCAGGGCCTCAGGGGAGCGTGTTTATATGGGGATCAAGTATCCGACTGACCCTGGTCTGTCTCTCCCATCTCACCCGACCTGTGGGCCTGCATGCATGGCTGAGCCCCAAGCCTAAGAGCTAAAACTCTGAGCCTCAGCTCCTGGCTGGAGGGCCCTGGGGAGGCCTCGTAACCTCTCTGAGCTCAGGGGTCTCGTCCACCAAGTTGGGGCTATTCTGAGGATTCCTGCCCCACCTCAGGGGGCTGTCGTGGGCTCACACCGACTGACCCAGTCTGTCGACTGCAGAAGCAAGTGTCCGACAGGCCTGGATGCAATTCAGGATGCACCTGTTCTCTAACCTCTCTGAGCCTGAGAGGCCTTAGTCATACACTGAGCACTACATGGTTCTCTACAGTGTCTTCCAAGGTTCTGTGAGAAGCAGCAGTGAGGAGCACAGGGGGCCCAGCAGAGCACAGGGCCAGACTTTGGTAAATGGTGGCTGTACCCATGAGAGGTATAGTTGTGATTGTTGTTATTGTCATTATTATTTCCCCACCTCCAACAAGTCCCAAGCTCTCCCCATCTTGTCCCACCTCCCAGCAGATGCCCCGCCCTCCACACGCTCCCTTACTTGTGGTGTTGTAGCGGACACCGTAGAAATAGGCAGGGCAGGGTCGAACCACCAGCTGCCCCGCCGGGCTCTGGGGCCAGCAGGTGCCAATGAGGTCCACGGATGCATTGCACTGCAGTCCTGGGGGCAGAGACAGCCGGTGAGGCAGAGCAAGATCTCCACTCCAGAGTCCTACCCACCTCCCCACTGGCCCACACTAACACACCGACTGGAGACAGAACAGGAGCAACGACCCCAGTGCAGAGATGGACTCATCCTATGCAGAGGAAACACCAGGGGAGGGAATCTGAATTTGATACTATGGCACTAGGGAGCCAGTGTGGGTTCCAGAGCAGAGGAGGAACAAAGATGGCTGGAAGTGATGTAAAAAGCTGAGGTCCTGGCTGGCATTTAGAGGACGGCTGCACATGCTTCAGGTCCCCTGCTCTGTAGCCTGAGGACACTTCTCTCGGCCCCTCACTTGGTGTAGACTGGAACTCTTAGACTTCACAGCCTGAAACAGCTTGGAACAGACTCAGCCAACCCCTAACCGAGCCCCCTTACATGTCTCTAGAACCAAACCACATCTGCTCTGGCCCTGCAGGGAGGAACCAGCTAAGGGAGGAACCAGATGGTCCACCTTCCAGCTGGCCTGAAAACCACATTTACTGAACATACACTCTTGATGCTCTGGTCTGTGTTGGGCTCTAAGAGAGGACTAACTGAGAAGCGGACTATAGGGAGAAAAAGGAGGGAGACACCATCCGGGGGAGTAGAAAGGACACTGAACCAGGAGTCTGGAACCCTGGCTTCAGACTGGGCTCTGCTACTAATTTGCTGTGTGACCATAGGCAGGTTGCTTACCCTCTCTGGGCCTTAGTGTCTTTATCTATAATAAAATGAAGTGGTTGGATCTGATCGGAGGTTCTTAATCTCAGTCCACTGGAAGCTTTAAGGGTTCATAGACTTTGAAATTAAATGCAAAATTTGGTCTATACATGTGTTTTAACTGGCAAAGGGACCACGGCTTCCATTAGATTCTCAAAGGGGTCTGTGACTCAAAAAAGGATATAAAGCGTTGAACTAGAAACAGAACGTCCAAGTCCCCCTCCAAAGGTTCGCCCTTAGTTAAAGAGCTTTTTGGAGTGGAGTGTGTGCGTGTGTGTATGTGTGTGCGTGTGTTGGGCCAGAGTTGAGGCCATGGTGACACTTCTGGAGGGGAGGGGGGCTTCTGGTCTCCAACAGGTGGGCGCTGGCTGAGGACAGTCCTGGCCCCCCTCCCGATGCTGCCGCTTATGTCTCTGCCCTTCAATGCCCCTCTCCTCCATAAGGCCGGCACCCGGGGCCTGTTGAGACCCAGCATGCCCATCACGACGGGAGGGGGTTAATAATTCCTGGGACTGGCACAGGAATGCACAGACAAGCCAGAGAGAGCCATGAACCAATGGGGGGCAGCTGCCAAACCCCGGGTGGGGCCCGCCTGCCACCCCCTCCCCAGAGTATCTAGCCTGTCTCCAGTCTCTCAGGAAACAGCCCCCGGGTAAGTTGGCCTCCTTTCCCTGCTGGACACGGGGCAGTGCTGAGTACCACTTGTAGGAAACGCTGCTTTTTCTTTCTAATCAAAGCTATTCAGAGGGTGTTCGTGCAAATCAGAGCTCAAGGGGCAGAGGCCTTGAGGCCAAGTGGTTTAATTGGAGGAGAAAGAAATCTGGACTGGGGCTTAATGGACACGAGAAGCCAGCAGGCCAGGGAGCTGGGATGTGCCAAGCCCTGGTGCTCTGCCACCGTAGAGCCTCGGAGAACGCATCACGGAGCACTGGTGGGGTGGGGATGTGAGAAAGCAGGGCTATGGGTGGCAAAGGCGTGCCAGGTTGGGATTTTAATCTGTCATGGGTCATGCTAATGGTGCGAAGTCTGGAGGAGGCGGGGAGCTGGAGGCACGCGGCTGTGGGGAGGGTAGGATACTATGGACCGTGCTCTGCTTTTTCAAAGCCTTCTTCATATATTTCGTTTGATTCTCATCCATTCTGCAATGTCACTATTCCCTTCTTACAGACGAGGACACGGAGGCCCAGGGAAGTTAAGTGACTTGCCCAAGGTCATGAGTCAACGAGTGAAGGAAGAAGACTCATAGGCAGGGGTTTTTGACTCTGGATTGAGTGATCTTTCTATTACACCACGTGGGCTGCCACTAAAGGGAGGGGGACATCCAGGAGGCAGTGGGGAAGGGGGCAGCATGTGCTGAGGGCTGACTGCGTGCAGGCACATGCGAGGGGCTCTACGTATACCATCTCTTTTAATGACATTCATTCACTCACTCATTCATTCACAGTATCTCCCGAGCCAGGCATTGGGAAGATTAAATGGGACATCCTGTGGGGCAGCAGCTGGAACTTGCCTACCACGCCTTCTCAGTCAGTGTCGCTTCTGCCCTCCCTCCCTCCCTTCCCTCTCCCTCTCTCCTGCCCTGGACAGTGCCCCAGAGCCCCTTTCGAAAAGAACAGAGGGCAGGGCAGGACTGGGCACCAGCCACTGCCAAGACCAGGCCAGAGCCGGCAGGGAGTGGTCACTGAGTGCATGGCTCTCCTGGCCTTGAGGACCAGGTACCAGCCAGCGCCCAGAGCCATGACCCCGCCCACAGCTGGTTCAGGACATGGGGGTGGCAGTGAGCAAGGCAGACGCCATTCGCTCCTGGTCTGTGGTGTGGAGTAGCATTCCACAGCACCTACTATAGGTCTCACACCACCTGCCAACGTGGGCGCTAATTCTCCCCATTTTGCAGATAAGGAAACGAGGTCCAAGCAGTCAAATGACTCATCCTAAGTCACCCAGACACTAAGAGGCAGAAGTCACCCAGGGCTCTTCCCACTGCACCACGGCCAGCGCGGTCTGGGCAACCGGCCCTCGCAGCATTTGGTTGCACCCATCTCTGTGCCCCGGGTTCCTCCGGGTCGCCATGCCTCTCTCCCTCCCACCTGCACAGAAGGCTGCGTGGAGGGGGCACAGGAGACACTGCCGCAAACGTGACCTTTTACTAAGAGCCCAGAAAATCCTGGAGGGAATTAAAGTCTGCGTGAGAGACGGGAAGAAACGCACGGAGAGGCTGCACGAGCGAAGAACAGAAGCTTAATGAAAGGGGTCAGGAGACACCTGCCCCCTCCCCTCCTAATAAAAGGCCACCGCGCCCACCGAGGCGTCTGGGACTGGGTGGGCGGAGTCCGAGGGCAGGGCCGAGCCAGATGGGGCGTGGCCAGAGGTAGGGGGCCAATCAGGAGCGGCGGCCGAGCTCAGGCTCGGAAATACCGGCTAGAAAGTTCAATAGGGGGTTGACCTTGTGGTTTTAGGGAGCAGGCGCAAGGATGTCCTAGGCAGAGGAAACAGCAAGTACCAAGGGCCTGAGGCAGGTGTATGTTCGCTGTATCCGAGGTGTTGACATTCCCATCACTTGATGGCTCACCCTCTCATTCATAGGGCTGCTAGATCCCTTCGGGATCTTTTGCTGGGGGTGGCGGTGGCGAGTCAAGTGGATTAAGGTAACCTGTAAAACTGGTCCTGCGACTTCCTCCTTCCCCACACATGCGCAGAGCAGATGCGCGGGGCCCACACTCCGACTGCTCTTGGCAGCACTGTGGTTAGACTGCCCCACATCCCTGCGAATTGGGGGAAGAGGAGAGAGGAATAGTGTGGCGGGCTCCCACCCGCCTCTGAAAAAAACCCTGCTGAGTCAGGGTCCTGGGGGGCTGCTTTAATGAGCGGAGAAGAACCCTTTGAAGGTGGCCTATTTAATGCTTGTGCACAATTAGGCACCGGTTTCTTCCCCTGAGTGGATTACATAGTTCCCTTCCCATCAGGCTCAGGGTCCAAAAGGGCTCAGCAGATCTTTCCGTGGTAGAAAACTTCAGAGGGAAATGGGAACCTGGTTCCTGTCCCAGGTTATGTCGGGGCTCCCCTCACCAGCTTCTGAATGAACCAGTGTAGGTGGGCACCTGGCAGCAGCCCTGCGGCTGGCAAGCCCATCCCCCCGTTTGGTTTAAGCCCAAGAGAAGGACTCAGCCAAGGCTGCCCAGAGGGGAGCAGCCAGCTGGCTCAAGGGCAGGCTCTGAACACACATGTTGCCCATTCAAAGGAAGGTGCTGCTGGGGTGAATGGGCAGGGGCTCTGCCTGGGTCGCCTGACATGGAGAGGGTGGCAGAAGGCAGACAGAAAGTCCTGCTCTTTGCTCAGCCACCTTGTGGTTGGGCTGCCTCCGCCTTGGCTGGGCAGGATGGAAAGATGCCTTTGCAGGTCGTATGATTCATCAGGACAAGTGGGTGGGCGCCTCCTCTCCTGTGGTCTGTGGGCTCTTCGTTCTTGCACTCCCAGAACCTAGGACAGTGCCAGGCACATAGTAGGTTCGAGGAAAATTGGGGGCTGTGTGCAAACCCAATATGGGTAAGGGAAAGTGCAGGGGCGACTCTGCACCCCCGGATGACTGACCACACCCGGCCCTGGGCACTACAGCTCTCTGGGTGGCCACATATATGTGGTGGTGGGAAAGTCCGGAATCAGGCCCATTTGGTTCAAATCTAGGGGCCACTGCTCAGTAACTGTGTGTGCTTGGGCAAGTTGCTTAACCTCTCTGAGCCTTAGGTTCCTTTTCTGTAAAATGAGGATAAAAATACTTCCTGACAATATTATTGTGATGATTCATTGAGGTTAAAGCACTTAGAATGGTGTCTAACACATAGTAGGTACTAAATAAATATTAGTTATCATTAATTATTATTATCATTCATGACCTTAAGACAGGGGATGGGAACTGATGACCCTGGGTCCTCGTTAACAATATGATTCCACTTGTCTCTGATGTCATTAGTCAATAATCCTATTACTTTCTGGCACTGTCATATTCATGCCATGATTTTATGTGTTGCCGGGTCTGTGATCTGCCACATGATGGAGACTTGGCCCTGGGGACCACCCCTCTCCCTGCTCCTGGCATGTGAGAGGCCCTCCAAAGGCCCCAGCTCAGTGCCAGCCACCCAGCCAGACGCCCACCCATCTGTCCTGGTCCCTCGACCCCACCCTCACCATCTGTCTCTACCAATGCCCATGGGCAGATGGTAGGTCTCAGTGTCGGAAGACAAATAGCAGGTTATCAGAGGCTGCTGTGGAGGGTGATGGATTGTGTGTCATGAAGCCAGCCGGGCTTGGCTGGGGTGGGGACAGGGGCACAGAGTACAAATCATCGGGGAATGAACGACATTCATCATGGCCTGTTGCCTCCAAGGACAGGTGACACCTGCGTGGGCTCAGGGATGTTACTCCTCTGGAGCACAACAAGCCAAGTTAATGGAGGCTCACCTGGCCCCTGTGCATGGGGGGCGTGGCCAGGGCCTTTCAACTCAGGCTCCAAACTCTTGCTTGCTCAAGAACTTTCCTGTTCCCCATGGCCCAGCTTAGCCAACTTTGCAGCCAGATGCTCTGGGCTCCCAGTACCTCCCCAGGCTTACTGCCCTTCCTTCCTCATCCCTCCCCTGTCCTTCCACCAAACCCACCAGCTAGCCCTCAGTCAACTCTAGCTTTGGCTCAGAGCTCTGGCTCTTCTTTGCTGGTCCATGCTCAGAGTCTCTCAGAGACTCACCTTGAAACCTCCTCCTTCAGGAAGCCTTCCTGGATTCACACCACCCCTGATCTAACCTCCCTGCCACCTCCATTGCAGTGAGCAATTCATGGCAAGTGCCTTCCCCTTATTCCAGCTATATGGTAAGCACTTTGAAAAGCCTGGTGATGTTACCAACAATAATAAATAATACTCAGTAATGGTATGGCATTCTACAGCTTGTGAAATATTGCCATAAATCGTGGTGCATTCAATCATAACAGATCCTTGAGGTCGGTATCATCCCCCTCATTTTACAGTTGGGCAAAGTGAGGCTCAAGGGGCTCATGCTCATCCCTGTGGTTACCAGTGGGGGCCGCTCAGGCAGACAGGACAAGACTGAGTGCCACTGTGAGCACGCGACCCTGGTTGGCCTTTTCCAGTCCAGTGCCCATTCCTCTCCCCTCCACCCTCCCTAGTCAGGGAACCGCAGGCCTGGTGGCAGCTGCTCTGAGTTGCCGAGGCCTCCTCTCCCCGCAGACCCAGGTTCGGAGACTAATGCCTCCAGCTTCCCTGCTAGCACACTGTGTCGTCCGTTCCTCTAGCAGCGCACGCCTCGTGCTCTGCCTCACAGTACACGTGTTTGTGGACTTGACTCCGAGACCAGACTGTGAGCCCTTCTTTGTCCTCCCCAGTGCCTTGCATGGGGCCCGGCGCACAGTAGGCACTCAACTAATGAGTTAGATTGAATCGGAAGAGACCTGAAGAGGAAAATGAATCACCAAAGAACAGTGAGCCCCCCAAAGACCCTTAGGTGCAGGAGGCCCTCTCCACCTTTGCAGCCCCAGGACCCCAGCTAAAGGGGCCAGGGTGAGGGTTCACGGGCCACACCCAAAGCTGGAAAAGGCATGGCCTCAGTTTCCTCATCTGTACAAACGCTGGGTCTTAAACACTTGTGAGCGGGAAATAAGATAATTGTACAAAAGCACTTTGTCAATGGTGAAGTTATACAAATATTAGTAAACTTTGCAGTTATGCAGTATTTTCTATTGAGGAGGTCGTCGAGCAGGGTATGAAGAACACATCTGGGAGCCAGGCTGCCTGGGCTCAGATCTTGGCTCCAGCACTTTCTAGTCTTTCTCTGTGCCTCAGTTTCCTTATGTGTAAGATGAGAATAGCAGCACTACCTCAGAAGGTCGTGGTGAAAATTGGGCTAATCTATCTCCAGTACCCCCAGCAGGGCCTGGCACACGGCTAGCACCACAGTTTTATGCTTCAGGCATTTTTAGCAGAGAAAACAGCAGCCTTTCTCCCTCGCTGATGCCTGAGTCACAGCCCAGCCCTCCTCTCTATTGATTCTCATGCAGCAAGGCTGGGGTGACTTCCTCTGTTGCCCACCCCAAAGCAGGGAAGATAACTACTTGGCACCCTTGCCACATGCCCCTCCTGCACCCATGGCAGATGCTGTCACCTAATTGCAGCTCTCTCTCCCACCACACTTACATGCGACTTCAGGATCCTCCTCAACACAGCACTCCGTGGAGATATGACGAATTGCTTGGAGCCCTAGAGAGGACATCCCTCTGCTCTTCTGCTCTAGGGCATGGCTCTGTGTGCAGGCCCTGGAAGACCTGGGAGAGTGGGGGGCTGTGGGGACCTGGAATCTTGCAGGAAGGGGGGCCGGGGTACTCACCGGAGATGTTGCTGGCTGGGGGAAGGCTCTCGCAGTGCTGGTCCTGGAGGGAGGCGGAGACAGGGTTCAGCCCCAGGAGGAGAAGGGCCTGTGGGTGCAGGGAGGCGAGGGACACGGTTAGACTGTGCCATGAGCAGGCTGGCTGCAGCTTCTCGCTTCCCCTCCCCTCACACATGTCTCTTCCCAGACACCCCTCCCACCAGTCTCCTTGCCCTCCTCCCCCGCGTCCTCTCTGCCTAGAAGGTCTGCAGCTGAGGAGCCTGGAAGGGAGGCTGCTAACAGCAGGAGCCCAGGTCCCCAAGACAGAGGTGAGTTTTCTCCCTGAGGGCTGGGGGCCTCCAGCGAGGCTCTGCCTGAGGAAGCCCCCTCCATCCCCATGGGATCCCAAGGATGGCCCAGCTGTGTCCCAACACACACACACACACACACACACACACACACACACACACACGCACACCCTCCCACCTGCCCGCTGAGCACACATAGGCTCATTAGTTCTCCTCCCTCCCTCCCTCCCAAGCTGCAGGTGCTCCGGGCCCTCATCCTCGCTCAGTAATTACAGGTCACTACAAATTGTGCCTCACCGCTCACCAAGCTCTTTTACATCTGCGATGGCACTTAATTCTCCCTGGGCTGGTGCGGCTGCTCCTGTTTGCAGATGAGGAACCTGAGGCCCAGAGAGGTGAAGGGATAAATGTGTCTGGAAAGATGGCTGCCCCATTCCAGAAAGAATCTTTGCCCTTTACCCTCTCTGGGGACTCGGTGTCACTCTGATTCCAGAATTTCAGCCCACTTGGGAGGAGGGTGGGATGGGCCTCACACCCAGAGGGCCGCCCTTCTTCAGCTAACACCTCCACCCAATCATGTGTCCCTCCCTTGAGGTCAGCACCCTCCCCACAGATTTAGAGTCAAAAGAGACCTGGCGTCCAGCCCTGGTTTCACTGTGTTGCCACGGGCAGGTTACTTGACCTCTCTGTGCCTCAGTTTCCTCACCTGTAATGACAGGTACAGTCATGCGCCACATAACAATGTTTCAGTCAACAATGGGCCACTTAGACGACAGTGGTTCCATGAGATTATAATGGAGCTGGAAGATTCCTATCGCCTAGTGACGTCATAGCCATGGCGTAGCACCACGCATTACTCATGTGTCATGTTGATCCTGGCGACAGCTCCGAGCGTGTTATTGCTCCTGAAGCCCTTCTAGTGGGACAAGATGTGGAGGTGGAAGACGGTGATATTGATGATCCTGATGACCTCGTGTCAGCCTAGGCTGAGGTGCGTGTTTGTGTCTTAGTTTTTAACAAAAAAAGTTTAAAAAGTTAAAAAAAATAAAAAATTTTAAAAATAGAAAAAGCTCATAGAGTAGGGATATAAAGACAGAAAGTATGTTTCTTTTGTACACAGCTTGTGTACAATTTTTGTGTCAATCGCGTACAAGTTTTCATTGTACAGCTGTACAATGTATTTGTATTTTAAACTAAGTATTATTACAAAAGAGACGAAAGGTTAAAAAAATGAAAAAGTTTATAAAGTAAAAAGTTACAGTAAGCTAAGCTTAATTTACTACTGAAGAAAGAATTTTTTAAATAAATTTAGTGTGGCCTAAGTGTACAGTGTTATAAAGTCCACAGTAGTGTGCAGGAATGTCCTAGGCCTTCACACACACTCCCCACTCACTCACTGGCTCACACAGAGCAGCTTCCAGTCCTGCCAGCTCCATTCGTGGTCAGTGCCCTATACAGGTGCGCCATTTTTCAGCTTTTATACTGTATTTTTACACTACGTTGTCTATGTTTAGATATGCTTAGATATACAAATACTTACTGTGGTGTTACAGTCGCCTACAGTGTTCAGTACAGTAAGGTGCTGTGCAGGTTTCTAGCCTGGAAGCAATAGGCTATACCATGGAGCCTAGGTGTGTAGTAGGCTGTACCATCTAGGTCTGTGTAAGTGCACTCTGTGATGTTCGCACAAGGTTGAAATCACCTAACGATGCACTTCGCTAAGTGGTGCAAGACCTCATCACAGTCCCCCTCCCCCCCAGGCTCACACGGGGCAGGGTATGTGGAAGTCCTCGGTGGAGCACAGCACAGTCCCTGAGGGCAGGGTTCTGTTTTGTTCACTGCACTCAAATTTGCTGAAAACAGTAATGAACTACATTGAGTTTCAGGTCTACGATAGGCACTCAATAGGCCATGCTGATGGATTTGAACTTGGTGATTTTTATTCAGCCCTGGGTTAGAGGCGAGGTGGCTGTTTCCCCTGGGATTTGATTTTTGAGGGGATGAGAAGCATGTGCAGGTTGGGGTGGGGGGGCCTCGTAACCAGCCCCTCCCTCCAGTTGTCGGGACTTGGGCACCTGGTGACCAGCAGAGCTCCCTCCACCCGACCAGGCTCCCGGGGTGGTGAACCCCAGGTTACTCTCTGCATCCGTACCCCTGCGCCCCTGCTCTTTCTTCCTGGGGTCCCCTCCCTGGGACCCTCTCCTGGGACCCCCGGCCATGGTGTCTCAGCCCCAGCCCACTTCCACAGTCTGCAAAATTCACTGCAGAACTTCAGACAGAGACGCGTAGATCTGGAAGCTGTCCTAGATCTGGAAGCTGTCGTAGCCATTTCACAGAAGGAAGATGAGAACAGGGGAGAGGTGGGGACTTGTCCGAGTCCCCTGGTGAGCAAGTTTCTAGTTTAGACTAGAGCCAGGGCGGTGGGCCACACTAGCAGCACACAGCCATCATGCCCAGTGCCCGGAGAAGGGTGAGGAGAGCCAGGCACTCACCTCGGGTCCAAAATTTAAGGGGGCACCAAAAAACTTAGTAATCAAGACAGATAATATTTTAAGGCAACATTTTTTAAAACTCTAAATTAATGCAAAAAATCCACGAGGAACAAAATATCAAAAACTTTTTTAAAAAGACAGGATCAGTAACAGTGCTGGGTATATTGGAGCTTGGGGCAAAAGGAAAAATCAGTAATAATATTAAAATTCTGTGTATCTTGATTACTGAGACTTGGGGCACCTCCTTAAATTTTGCGCTTGAGGAGACTGCCTCACTCTCCTCACCCTAGTCCTGGCCCTTGGAGCCTTCTTCCCAAGCTGGACTCCAGCCCATCGCACCCGTGCCCAGAGCTGTACATCCTCCTTCCCCCTGGGCTCCTCCCTATTCACCTCTTATGGACCTCAGGACCTTCCCCCAGTCCTCAGAAGCAAACTGACCTGCTCTTTTCCAGAGCTTTCCTCCCTCACCTGCCATGAATGTCCTCTCCTACGCTGCCCCATCCCCATCAGTGCCACCCACCTTCCCCGGTACCTGCCCCTTCCCACTCCTGTCCCATGACAAAGGCAGGCTCTGCTCCCCTCTCTCCCACCCTACATTCCAAGGTGGAGTCAAACGCTCCCCACTCTGGGTCAGAACCTGTCCCGTCCCCCCTTGACCCCGATGATTCACCCACATTGTCCCCTCAGTGCTATTCCTGAGTCCTTAGTGGACTTGTTTACTCTATTCCCTCGCTGGCACACTCCTGTCACATCTTCACAGGAAGCACACTTCCTGCTCTTAATGGGCCAAGCTCCAGGGTCCCAAGCACCCCCAGAGCCCTGCACCCCATCCTGTGCTCAGTGCTCAGGACACTCAGCAAACGGCTCTGGGGTTAGTTGACTCGCTCCTGGGACTTGGGAGTGATTACAACAAACCCATTCGTCTCTCTGGCCCCAAGGAACTTCCAACACTTTATTAAACTTCACAGTAATTAAACTTCACAGCCCCCAGAGGGATGGAGAAATATCTTTACCCTCATTATCCAAATGAAAACGCAGAAGCAGAGAGAGGAGGGAGCCACCAGGCCACCCAGTGACTCTTGGTAGCTAAGCAGACAGCAGTGTCCTCGCTGACAAACCCACACCACTCAGCTCAGCGGTCGGCAGGGACCCAGCTCTGCGCTGTCCCCAGAGAGGGGCTGCTCAGCTAGGACGGCCAGAGGCCCCTTCTAGAGGGGGACTAGGAGTCCCTGCCCCCAGCTTGTTGCCCCACCCCTGCCTCTGCCACCTTCCAACACACACACACACACACACACACACACACACACACACAGGCACACACAGAATGGAGGTGGGGCTCCCAGCGCCAGCTCAGCCACAGGCAAATTAAAGAAACTGGAAACGTGGAAAATATCAGCCCCGCTACTTGACATTCCACCCTTATGCTTCTAATCCCGAAGCCATGCTTTCTGCTTCGGTCTTTCAGATCCCTTTGGAATCACGCCACCTTCCATTCACATCGAATGACTTGTCACCTCCCCAGCACACCCGGGAGCCTGCCGGTGTCCGCACACCTCTCTCCGTGCAATTCTCTGCCCCTCCTCACCCCGGCCCACCCCTTCACCCCGTGAACCCTGCAGCCCTCCAAGCCAGTTCCTGGGCCCCCGCCCCGGGCAGCACCTTCCCCAAGACTCCAAAGTAAATCACCTCAGTCACCCTGTCAATGTGCCCATGTCCCCTCTGTACACGCGGTGGACCCTGGTGCTCGTGACGCTCGAAAACCGAGATCTCAGAGTAGTCCCAAATGCGTGAAACCTCCTCAGTATACAGAATTATGCCCCAGGGTTCTAATTAGATGGCAAATACACAGGCCGGAAGGTCTAAGCCTCGCATCTCAATGTCCTAAGGTTCACAGAGGAGCAGAGCCAATCCAGATTCATCACAAAACCCAACTGAATGCCACAGGGCGAGGGCTGGCCTGTCCACGGCTGGCTGCCTGTAACCCCGACCTTTACGTTTCCTTCTTGGAGGTGACGGTTCACAGTTTTTCTACCAAGAGGGCCAGTTTTGCATTATGCAAAGAAAAAGCCTTCTTAAAATTCCGGAACCAGCCTCTCCTCTCAGGAAAGGTCTGCTCTGCAGAGAATCTGTGCCTGTGCCACCTCTTGCTCTGCAGAAGGGTTTGCAAGGGCTTCTGGCTTATTCCTGAATCACACTTCCACGAAAAGCCCGGAGTTTTCCTGTGTGTTTCCTCCCACCATATGTTGATCTCCTCTTCAACGTCCACTATGGTCTCCATCTCCGTCAACAGGCAATTATTGCACCAAAGG